GAAGGAGCGTTCAAAAGGGCACGTACAATAGGAGATAAATGCAGAATCTTAAATTGACGTGGGAAGACTTATTCCATACTCCTTATTGGTTTTTTTTATTATATAATAATCGAATAAATTTATTCGGTTTTCCAAAGTCCGTAACAAATAATGAACGATAAGATGTATTCACAAAAATAATTTATCAGGCTAATAATTTAATCGGTATATTATTTCTTTTCCAAAATAGGAAAAATGAAGAGTAGTAATACATATTCAACAAAATCAAGATTCTAATAAAATACAATAAATAGAAGAAAAAAACCTGAAAAATGCTTATGCTTGGTTCATATCAGGAATTTCCATATGGTATTCTCGTTTGTCCCCCAAGCTTACAGAAGGATCCATGGTGAAGGGATAGAACAAAAACCTTTCCCCATAGGGATTTGCACCTCTTTCCCCGGCCACCTCTTCCAAGGAACCGCTGGGAAGATGGAGAGCGTATATCCTCCACTCAATCTGCATAAAGATAACATCGAGGTCGGGGTGGAATCCCAACGGCGCGATGGAATAGGCACTTCTGTCGTCGTCATGCCTGTGGCGTCGGTAGGATTCAGTGTGTAGATTGATGAGAGGCTGATTGCTATGAGAATGCTTCAAGTTCCATGTTCTGTGGCCATTCTCGCTCGCAAGGACCCAAATTTGCAGATCGTACGGATTGCATAAAGCATAGTGAGGGACTCCACCAGATAGTCCCATGAGACTCCTAACCCCTCCTTCTAAGCTTGTCGCCGGCGATGGGCATATCGCGTAATCTGTATCGTCGTCGTGGATGATGCACAGCTTCGGGTAATCATCATCGGCGGTACCGTCGTAAAAGTCTAATGGCGGCAATCCACGCTGGGGTAAAACATAGACGTTTTGCTGCTGATCAGTGTTGGTGGACAAAATCGTAAACCAAGGAAGCGACTGCTGATTCGCTTGCTGGTCCTCGAAGAAGAGGAGGCACTTGAACTGAGGGGAGTCATGTCGATGGAAATCCAACCTCGCCGAGATAAATCGACGTCCCACGGGTAGATGTGTGAGTGCGACATTCAAGTGGATGATCACCCAATTGGTCTTCTCATCCCCGAATGGGTTGCAGACGATCATCGACTTAAAGCTATTGTCTCCTACTACGCAAAGGAAGAGAAGCAAACCATTGCAGCTATCCAGCAGAAACAAGTTGTCATGGTCAGGTAGATGAGAGGTGAGTCTCTTGATATCCAAGTGCTGATCTCTGTAAGGGTGAATGGGCGCGTACTGCAAGGACCGTACGAGGCGGCGTCGGTAGAAGAAGCCGTACATGGTGGGACGTAGGTATCTGATGGAGTAAGGGCCGCGGTCGGAGAGGAGGGCAAGCCACTCTTTGGAAACGCAGCGGAACCGGAGGGCGGACTTCACGGGCAACCGGGAGAGTATCGGAATCAACAGGTCATTAGGGAGACTAGATTTGCTACACTTGCTGTGGCTGAGTCGTCGCCTTTTTGTCTTCAACGAGTTGGCCATGGAAGCCATGCTCGACTGTTTCGTCTTCTTCTTCTTCTCCATCTCGTGCGTGCATATTCGTACAAGCATGTATGCATTATATAGATGATTTAGGGCTTTTATTCTATGCCAATGCCGGAGTCCTTGATTTCTTTGTGGGGTGAGTTGGATTTGGCATCGGTCGATAAATGGGGGGCGTCGGATTTGCCAAATGGAGTCCTTTCTTCATACATGCATTATCTAGATGAGTTAGGAAGCATGCATGCATTATAAAGATAAGTTTAGTTGTGGTTTGATTGAGAGAGAAACAAGAGGTTAGCATTGCTTGGCATCTTCTTCTCCTAACGCGTGTTTGTATATGTTTGGAATGATTAGGTTATAGTTTCAATGATTAGAAGGGTTGTTTGTTAGTTAGGATTCATCTCTACGAATACGATTTTATGTATAATATTTTGGGTGCTTAGTAAGGTTTTCTAAAAAGGATTGAGAAAAGAATTATATGAGAGGGTAGATAAAATAATTTTATAATATTTTTTTTTATTTTTATATAATAAAAAAAATTGATTTTCTCGCAAACAAAGATTATCGAAACAAGCAATTTTTGTGTTTTGACTTTTTGGTTGGTTTTGATTGGATCTTTGACATGTTTCTCTTTGTTTCAAAGACTTCTTCCTGTAGAATAAGATGACGTATCCGAAGGTTGTATGCTTCGACAGCAAACCAACTTCGATGAGATAAATTCATGTTGTTTGGGTGCGGCATTCTTGTGGACGGTAACCCAATTGATCTCGTCATTCTGGAACGGGGGGTTGCAAATAATCATCGACTTATAGCTCCTGTCTTTTCTGTCATCCAGTAGGGTCAAGTTGCGGCGGTCAGGTAGATGAGAGAGGTGAGCTTGTTGAGATCGAAGTGGTGGTGGTCTCTGTAAGGGTGGATGGGCGCGTACTGCCGCCGGGACCGTGCGAGGTGGTGCCGTCGATAGAAGAAGCCGCATGTGGTCGGACATATAGGTATCCGGTGGAGTACGGGCCGCGATCAGAGAGGAGGGCAAGCCGCTGTTTGGAAACGCAGCGGAACCGGAGGAGGGTGGACTTCACGGGTAGCCGGGAGAGTGTCTGAACCAACAGGTCATCAGGAAGACTAGATTTGCTACAGTTGCTTTGACAAAGTCGTCGCCTTCTTATCTTTAACGAGTTGGCTGTGGCAGCCATTCTCGGCTTCTTCGTCTTCTTCTCCATCTCATGCACGTTGGTATAAACCAGGAAGCATGCATGCATTATATAGATGAGTCTGCACAAGCGTGTGTTTGTGTGTGTTTTGGCATCTTCTTCTCCCAAAATTGGCATGTGTGGTGTATGCATTAAAAGTTTAGGACCAATTTGATGTTGAGGAAAAATATTAAACCCTTCTTATTACTAATTATTTTATTGTGGTCTCTCATAAATTATAGTGTGATCAATGCCACTGCAATTTAATAGGTTAAGGTTATTCAATTATAAGCCAAATTCATTATATGTCATCTGACTTTTCAATCTGAATTTTTTTTTTAATCCATCTCTTTTCATCTCTCTCTCTCACACATACATACATACATACATACATACATACATACATATTAAAAATAATTTATTAGAAAAAGAAGTAGTTATATAATTCTCCAAACACATACCATATGATAGTAATTTTTTTTAAAAAAGCAACATATTAAAGGGGCAAAATTTATATTTAAATAATTATATTTGAGTAAAAATAAATATTTTAGTAATTGGATAATTAAATCTCAAAATACAAAGCTAAAATAGAGGCAGCTTGATGGGTAAGGTTGATGCCACAATTAATAAATTTTTTTTATTTTTATTTTTTCAATTAGAAGTGCTTGCATCGAGGTCAACACTTATGCCAATAATGATCAATAAAAAAATATTATAATTGCTGAGTGTTGAACTGATTGGATCCAATTTGTCTCAAATTGCGAACTCAAGGTGAGGAAGGACATGACATGGTGCAGAGGCTATGATCCTTGCCAAAAGCATTAACAATGTACCCGTTAAGATTTCTCTAATAGTTAAGTTGGTAAATACTCGAGATAAATATACAATTATCTCATTTTATAATTCTTCTCTGAAATTATCATGGTTATGGAAGATCAAATGTGCCCAATCTTACAGACCAATATCATATTCGTAATAGTTGGTGGCATGGTGCCCAATATATTATTATTTTTAATTAATATTCTCCTGTATTATTGAACATGAACAATCCAAGCTTAGCTTTATCAAATTATACACCATAAGTTTTAAAGGGCATAATTGATGATCTAATATTCTTTTGATGAGAATTTCTCCCCTTGATATTAGCATTTTATTTGTTATTTTTGTTAACTATCACGGATTCTATTAGGAACTAAATAAATTTGTATTGTCCAATTCAAGAAGAAATTCACAAAATTGATATAGGATTTTAAACCAATCCTTTGAAAGGGTTTTTATTTTGTGCAAAATTTTATTATAGGAATTTGTATCCCTATAGTAAGTATTAAAGAGAAGAATGGGGTGTTTTTCTAGATTTATAAACAAAATGAGGGAGAGTCTTAATTAACATGGAGAAAATCTATTTCGTATTTATTTTGCATGTAATGATAATATAATAAATTTATTCCTAGATAGGGTATATTAAATTAGACAATAAATAATAATTGATAAGATACATCTTATGATGGTATGAAAATAAAAATAAAGTTAATAATGATTACTGAGTCGCATGCCATATCTGATTTTTTAAATTAGGAAAAAAGATGATTATGTATTTGATATATCTACTAGACCACGTTAAGCTACACATGTCGGGCCACATGCATTAGACCATGCTGAGTCGCTCATGTCGGGCCACAAGCATAAGGTCGCGAGCATCGATCATGTCGAACCCAAACGATCATCCATCCGTTCTTTTTTTTTTTTTAACTTAAGAGTTAAATAAATAAATAAAAATAGATACACAGAAAATTTATTAGTCATGCAATCTAGAACTTTGATAAAACAATGATTAGCTTACGTCCATAAGAAAACAAGTTGATGTCGATTAATATATTAAACACCCTATTTATAACTTTAAATTTTGATATCATAATATGAATTTCGAAATTATTAAAAGGTGATGATCCACCCTAGTAGACCTCCCAAGCCATAGATAAGATGGAAAGTGAGGTCTTTATTGTGGTTTATACATGAGAAAATCTATTTCTTATTGGTTTCATATTTAAATAATAATTGAATAAATTTATTCTTTATTAACGTATTCTTAAGTAGAAAATATATAATGATCGATAAGAGACCTCTCATATATTGGTATGATAAAAATAACAATGATGAGGTGTATGCCATATATAATTTCTTTTCTCAAATTAGGGAAAAGAAGATTATATATTACATAAAATCAAAGTATAAAAATAAAACAAATGATAAAAAAGAAGCATGAAAATAATTATGGCTTGCTTAGGTATTCATGTCAGGAAGTTCCATGTGGTATTCTCTTCTCTCCCCTAAGCTTGCCGAAGGATCCATGGTGAAGGGATGGAACAAAAACATTTGGCCTTCAGGGTTTGCACCTCTTTCACCGGCCACCTCATCCAGGGAACCGCTGCCAAGATGGAGAGAGTATATCCTCCACTCAATCTGGAGAAAGATAACGTCGAGGTCGGGGTGGAATCCGAGCGGGAAGATGGAATAGACCCTTTCGTTGCCCTCATTCTTACGACGTCGGTGCGATTCTTTGTGCTGTTTGATCAGAGGATGGCTACTGCAAATATGCTTCGGCTTCCATACTCTTTTACCATCCTCCTTCACGAGGACCCAGATGTGTAGCTCGTGCTCATCGCAAAATGCGAAGTGAGCGAGCCCTCGAGATACTCCCATGAGACTTCGAACCCGTCCTTCCCAGCTTTTATTCAGCGCTACACAAATCACATGATCTGTCTCGTCCTCGCTGATGATGCATAGTTGCGGGCAATGATCGACAAAAGCGACATCGTAAATGTCAAACTGTGGTGGTGAGTGCTGGGGTAGATTGTCAATGTAGTGGGACTGACCAATGTCGCTGGACAACTTCGTATACCAAAAGACTGACCTAACACCCAATTCATTCAAATTGAAATCCTCAAAGAAGAAGAAGCACTTGAAATGAGGGGATGCTCGATGGGAAACCAACTTCGATGAGACAAATTCACGTAGCGGGAGTAGTTTGAATGAGGCATTCATATGGAGGGTCACCCAATCGGTCTCCTCATTCCGGAACGGGTTACAAATAATCATCGACTTGTAGCTCCTCTCTTCTCTGCAACCGAGGAGAAGCAAACCATTGCAGCTATCCAATAGAGTCAAGTTGCGATGGTCAGGTAGATGAGCGGTGAGCATGTTGAGATCGAAGTGGTGGTCTCTATAAGGGTGGATGGGCGCATACCGCCAAGGCTGTCCGAGGTGTTGGCGTCGATAGAAGAAGCCGCACATTGTCGGACATAGGTATCTGACGGAGTAAGGGCCGCGATCGGAGAGGAGGGCAAGCCACTTTCTGGACACGCAGCGGAATCGGAGGGCGGACTTCACGGGTAGCAGGGAGAGTATCTGAACCAACAGTTCGTCGGGAAGACTATATTTGCTATCCTTGCTGTGGCTGACTCGTCGCCTTTTTGTCTTCGACGAGTTGCCCATGGCAGCCATGCTCGACTGTTTCTTCTTCTCCTTCTTCTTCTTCTTCTTCTTCTTCTTCTTCTTCTCAATCTCGTTCATGTTGGTATATACCACGCCGCATGCATGCATTGTCTACATGGGTTAGGGCTTTTATACTGTGGTGTATTTGGAGTCCTTTCTTTGTGGGGGGTGTGTCAGACTTCGTATCGGTCTATAAGTTTGGTTGTGGTCTAATAGAGAGAAACAAGAGGTTAGGGCATCTTCGTCTTCCAAGGCGTGTGTTTGTCTTTGGCATCTCCCCAAATAGAAGTCTGTATATGTTTCTCTGTGTGCAAGAATTGTCTTATATTTTCGCGTGTCTACCATTTCCAATAAGTAAGCCCGACATTAATGGTTGAAAGCTCTTATTCATCATAATAACTTAAATCGAGAACTTGTAAAAGGAAAAAAGTAGATGATGAAGATGAGATTTGATCTCAAGATATTGCTATTAATAGTCATGACTTTTAACATCTAAGCTTGTTGATATCATCTTATCAATTCTTTTCCTATGCATTCATTCATACATTGGTATGATTCCATGTCATTATGTTGCCCGTCAAAAAGCACTAATTTTAATGAATGAACGAGTTAAATGCTTTGTCTCAATCAATCCAAGATAATATGAAGATTGTAATGCGAGAAATAGGTGAACTAAAAAAAGAAAAATTCTATCTTAGAAAATACAAACCATTGGGATCATTATATTACAAAGAATAATAACAAATTATACTACAACGT